TTAGCCAATCGTCAGTCGGGAGACAGAGGCCGGCTTTTTTTTTTTTGGTAGTTGGAAACATCATCTTGGGCAGACGTCTATCCTCAGCCTGAGGGTGATAAGAGCCCCAAAAATGAAAAAGAAAAGGAAAGATAGAGAAAGAAATAGCACCTACCTTCAGGATCTCGGGATATAAGTGTATCGACCCTAGATGCATGGATCTAGTCTATTGGTGGGGATATCTGAAGGCTCTGTGTTCGCGACATGTCGGATTTTCGCTATTTCTGACATTTCGAGATACTATCTTTGGAAACATTGAGTTGACGTCATCTTCCCTCTCCTCCCTTCTTCGTCTCTCCTCCCCTCCATTCATCCGTGTATGAGAGTTGCCCCTGGCCTTCTCTTCTAAGTCCAAGGCCAGGGCTTCACACCACCGATGTATGTTTGTGAGTGTTTCGTTGCAGTCTGAGTCAGGTCCGAGTCAATCCATGTATCTCAAGTCTTCCGCTGTATTTGTATGTACTCTGTTTTATCTGGTCGGTTCTGGGAATCTGCGCCATACTTATGACTGTGTTTCACGAGCAACAGTTTGGTATCGGAGCAGACCAGCATTGGATGACTCACCATTGATTGATTGATTGATTATCTACACCTGTACTCTGTTATCATTAATCGCAAGTTGCCATTTTTTTTTTTTTTTTCTGTTTCTTTTTTCGACATAGTTAATTAGGTCGTTTGAATTCTATTTTTAGGTTTGGCGGCTCTCTTCATAATGTGCACAATTAGGGAAAGCGCTAATCACGATTAACCTAATTAGTGCTAATTAGGGTTACTCCTAACCTAATCTAACGATCTAACGACCTATCAAGCTACGGGAAGTGAGCGCCAGCCAGGCACCGTGCCAATTAAGGCAAATCGGGCCTGAGCACGGCCACATTCAACTGCAACGTCACGGAATTTTCACTCTTTGTAAAACACATCCTTTATTGCGATTAAAGATTGAGTCGTTACGGCAAAAGTGTATCTTCCTATTACCATTGAGTTTCTACTTACTTCATGGCCTCGTAATGATGCTCAATTCTCCCGATTAAAATTCATAAAATTATGTAATTAAATATTCTGATGAAATGTTTAATCTTACTTAAACTTTATTGAAGTTTATTCATTGTATTTTTGCAAATTTAAATTATATTTTTTAATTAAATATTTATTTTTTGCCAAAATTAAAATTTATTTAATTAACTCGTATTTTCCGATTAAAATTTATATAATTACATAATTAAATATTTAACATTTAATTTTTTTTTGTGGGGGGAATTTTTTCTTGATTAGTGTCAAGTCTGAGGTCAGGGCAGAAAGGGACTGTCTGTGCATTGTTTGCCTCCCTTCCGTTCTTCCCACCCCTACCTTCTCTCTCCTCCTCTCGGTACTGCGAACTTCAGTCTCCGGCCAGGTCAGCATTGTGCCACATCAGCAGCGTGCCACGACAGCAGATTGCCACATCAGCAGCGTGCCACCTCCGCAGTGACAGGACAGCAGCAACGAAGCCCGGACTACTTGATGCACCGCAGTCAACCGCTTGCTGAGCGCGGATCCGCAGGAACCAAGCCCCAACAGGGACCCAAGACACCTCGGATCCAGCGCAGACCATGGCCGAAACTGCAGACGTCAATTCGCAGGCCAGCCCCAAGAGGCCGGTCACTCCTCCCATGCCAGTTCGGCAGGCAGAAGAATCGCAACTCACGTTTCTCGAACGTCTCCGACATTACACGGAGACTGCTGCAGCCGAACTTCGCAAGTGGGAAAAGGAGGCCGCCTGCCAGCAGTCAATTCAACGCCAGCTGGAAGAGGCCGAAGCAGCACGTCAGCAGGCCGCAGCCGAAGCTGCAGCAGCCGCACAGTTGCAGAAGCAGCAGGTCGAGGCAAGTCAGAATCAAGCTCCTTACCAGGCCACAATGGACCTCGCAAAAGACGAAGCCACGTACCGCAGGCTACTTCGATGACAACACTTCCAAGCAACCGAAGCACAAGAGGAGCCGACCGAGGAAGAGAGTGACAAGGAATCCACAGCAGTATTGATGGAGAATCTGCTGTGCAATTGGCAGCAACGCGAACTGCTGGTCATGCGGCAGATCTTCATCCGCTACGAAGCAACTTTCCGGTCGATAAACCTGAAGATTGCGGCATTGCAGGCCGAGAACAGCACATTGCAGGCCGCCAACAGCCAGCAGCAGACCATCAACGACCAGCTGCAGACCACCGTCATCACAGGATTGGCACGACTGTCTGCAATCGAGTCGACGGGCAGTGCAGTGCCAGACTGCAGCTTAGCTTTCGCCGCTCAAGCCAAGCAACTCGAGGAGCGGATCAACCACGTAGTCGCATCCCTTGGCGACATCAGCACGTTTGTTGGGACGTCTACGGTCAGCAATCAGCTGCAGACGCTCACCGACCGCGTTCAACAACGAACGGTCGCCGTTGTCAAGGAATGGAAGATGCCGAACTTCAAGATTGAGAAGTTCGACGATTACCACAAGACCAATCCGCTGCAGTGGTGGATGGCATTCAATGTGGAGGCAGACGTACATCACGTCCCACCCGAACGGCGGCTTGGCGCACTCTACCTCCAACTCATTGGAGGGGCGCAGGCTTTCATGACTCACATGGCCGTCACGTTGGAATGCACCATCGCCACCCTCCACACTAAGATCACGTGGGAGGAATTCGAAAAGAAGTGGAAGACCCGGCTCATGGTCAACAACGACAAACGTCACGCCTTGAAGAAGATCTTCCGCATCTTGGCCAGCAAACATCACAGAAATGGTTGACAGAGTGGCAAAGACTCGTCGCCACCCCGGAGTTAAACCTGCCATTCGACGCAATCCGGGCTACGTTCTTCGCCCGATCTTGCGACGGTTTGACAACTGCCCTTGGCAGCGAATTTCAGTATGAGACCTTTGATGGGATGAGCTCAAAGGCAAGGGAACTCATACAAGGTAACCGGCGAGCGGCCAATGAGGCCCGCCAACAACCCGGTTACGTGGAGAAAGGCAAAGGTCCGCGGACGCCGCAAGTAGCAGCAATCCAACAAGGATCTAGCGAGGACCACACAGCCACTTCAACATCAAGTGAAGGAGATGCGGCGGCAGCGATACCACCGCAACGCTGAAGACCCCGTGGGGTAAAACACAAGGCGAAAACAGCGTCGGCGGATGGAGCGAGACAATCGCCATGCACGAAATTCGGTATCACTGAAGACATGCTCAAGTTGAGGCAGAAATCGGGATGCTGTTTATGGTGCAACAACACCAAGCGTATCACTAGTGCATGCCTCGACAAGAATACAAAAAATGTCAAGCGTCCAGGCTCGGGAAACCGAGCACTGCGGGAAGTGTAGCGACATCACTTCCCAGCCTGTCGGACTCGGCTACCTTGCTAGCAGTCTCTCTCACATCCCGGGATGCCGCGGTAGTCGCAAGTTCTCGGACTAGCTTCGAGAACTATGCTGTCCAGCTGGTCCCGCCGTTGAACCAGCCTCTCCACGTGCAAGATTCAAGCGCATGAGTGTTACCGCCGTCAGACAACGAATCGATTGCTTCGCCAACCCTTCTATTGGAGGATCCATCAACTTGGGCGAGTCTTGAGGAACTCGACCCGTTGACGGTTGAGGACTTTCAATGGTTGCCTCTTCCCTCCGCCGGTTCTTTGCCAACACCGCATTCCAATGCCCTGATGGCACATTTGCGTGAATACTTGCACGCTGCAGTACCACCTCCGTCGACGGACAACGTAGTAGCGGTTGTTGACCTTCGTAGCTATCTTGCGAAGATCGACCACGAGCACACAACGCAATGGTACGTCGACATCGACGCGCCGCTCCTCTACATCCGCATTCAGATCGGAAAGGCAACCTGCAGTGCCTTGATCGATTGTGGAGCGTCTCGCAACTACATCAGCCAAGACTTCATGGCACGTGCCGGACTAGGACCGCGCGTTTGAAGGAAAAGTCAGCCTACGCATGTCACGTTGACCGATGGTCACACACAAAAGTCAATTGACCGCTGCGTTGACTCCGTGCCCGTGTACTTTGCCCCGCTTGCATGCGAGGCCGTGCCGTTCGACATTTTGGACACTAAGATCGACATGATCTTAGGCATGTCGTGGCTGCAAAGCGAAGACCATCTGGTGAACTTTTATCGACGCACCGTTCACGTTCGTGATCGGCGTGGCGAACTAGTTCCGTGTACGGTGCCACTTCCTCATCCTTCGATTGGTTGTCACGTGGTTTCCGCAGTTAGCATTCGCCAATCCATCAACCGATACTACATCGAGGAGATGGGCATTTGTTTTCTTCACGACCTCCCACCCGTTGACCAGCCCAAGACGGACACATCGGACCCACGTATCATGGAGCTGTTGGACAACTATGAGAATGTCTTCCAAGCTCCTGCCGGAGTCGTATCGGATCGCCCCATACGCCACAGGATCACTCTCGAGGACGGCGCCGTACCTCCGCTCAGATGTATTTACTGCATGAGCGAAGAGGAGCTTTAAGTGCTTTGGGCACAACTAGACGACCTCTTGGCCAAGGGCTGGATTCGCCCTAGCTGTTCGCCATATAGTGCTCCCGTTCTCTTCATCCAGAAAAAGAACAAGGACCTTCGTTTGTGCATGATCAACTATCGAAAACTTAACCACAAACGATTAAGAACGTCGACCCTCTCCCTCAGATTGATGATCTCCTCGAGCGACTAGGCGGCACCAACGCCTCCAAGTACTTCTCAAAGCTTGACCTCAAATCTGGATATCACCAAGTCGAGATCCAACCAAGAGATCGTTACAAGACCACGTTCAAGACACGGTATGGGCACTTTGAGTGAATCGTCATGCCTTTCGGTCTCACCAATGCCCCAACTACTTTCCAAGCGGCTATGATGACGGAATTCCGCGACCTGCTCGACCGCACCGTACTCATTTACCATGATGATATCTTGGTTTACAGCCGGTCGCTGGACGAGCACCTCGAGGACCTTCGCACCGTTTTGGAGCGGCTCAGTATCGCCAAGTACAAGGTAAACTGCGACAAGTGTGAGTTTGCACAACAAGAGTTGGAGTACTTGGGATATTAAATTACGCTGCAAGGCATTCGTTCGATCGCGGACAAAGTACAAGCCATTCAAGATTAGCCGGACCTCGCGTGTACTACCGATGTCCGCTCCTTTCTTCACTTAGCATCATACTACATGCGCTTCGTCAAGAGCTTCCAACGGATCGTTGCACCATTGTCGCCACTTCAGTCCCCCTTGGTGCCCTTTGAGTTCAACGACGAAGCTCGACACACGTTCCATACGCTGAAGACGACCTTGCTTCAAGCTCCCGTCTTAAGCATCTATGACCCAACATTGCCAACCAAAGTGACTACGGATGCTTTCGACTACGACATTGGCGTGGTTTTGGAACAACATGACGACACAGACTGGCATCCGGTTGAGTACTTCAGCCAAAAGATGCTGCCCATCAATTCTTTAGATGATGCGAGGAAGAAGGAACTGCTAGCTTTCGTCACGGTACTTAAGCGTTGGCGTCACTTTCTCCTCGGGCGTCAGCGACTCACGTGGGCAACGCACAACAATCCATTGACTTATTACAAGACGCAAGACACGGTGAGCAGCACGATCGGTCGTTGGATGTACTTCATTGACCAGTTCGACTTCACCTCCAAACATATTCCGGGCCCCTCGAACAAGGCGCCGGATGCTCTCGCGAAGACCTGATCTTTGCGCCTTGGTGCACTCCACATTCGGCCTCGGCGATGACCTACAACAACATTTCGTAAACGGCTACAAGTCGGATCCGGGATTCTCCACACTCTACGCGGACTTATCATCGGATCACTCGCTGTCAAGCAACTATCGCATCACCGATGGCTACTTGCTCCTCCATACGCGGGGCAAGGACTTGTTGTATGTTCCCCAAGACCACATCTTGTGCACTCGCCTCCTTGGCGAATACCACGATTCGCGGCTGGCGGGACACCTTGGCGTTGCACGCACACTTGCACGACTCCGCCAGCGATTCCACTGGCCGGACATTATTAGCGACGTCAACCGGTACATTCAGTCATGTGCAGTTTGCCACCGGAACAAAGGGCGCCATCAGCTCCCGTACGGTGAATTAGAACCATTGCCGATTCCTCGGGAACCAGATCTCTCCATTGCTATGGATGTGACCGACCCTTTCCCTCGCGATCGCCTTGGCCATGATGGTATTCTCACGGTCGTTGACCGTTTGAGCAAGTACGCTCGATTTCTTCCATGCAAGTATTATGCGACGGCTCCCGAGCTCGCACGACTTTTGCATACTGGCTGGTTTTGCAGCCACGGTGCTCCGGAAGACATCGTCAGCGACCGCGACACTCGTTTCATGTCAGCCTTTTGGATGACACTCATGGTGGAATCCGGCACCAGCATGAAACCGAGTTCCGCACGACATCCTCAAACGGATGGGCAAACGGAACGTGCGCACCAGACTGCGCAGATGATGCTCCGCACACTCATCCCCCCGGATCAGAAGGACAAGGTTGACCGCCTTCCCGACATCGAGTTTGCCTACAACACTTCGGTGCACCCGGCAATCGGTGTGCCTCCTTTTGAGTTGGATCACGGTGGACGGAAAGGCTGTATCTTCGCATACATTTTGCTTCCACGGGCTGCCGATATCGACGCCGCTTGCTCCCTCGCTTATGCACGGAAGTACAGGGAACTGCTGGCCAAAGCCCGTGCAAATATGCAAAAGGCTCAGGTTCGTACGCAGCAGCAAGCGAATCGGCGTCGCATCCCATGTCCAATCCGTGCCGGCGACCTTGTTTGGGTCACCTCCGAGGAATTCACGCTCGAGCAGCACGTCTCATGCAAGCTCCTCCCTAAGTGGTTTGGGCCATGGAAGGTCACTTCAGCAGCTGGCGACGACCCCGCGGGTCCATCTTTCATAATCGAGATTCCCCCGCATTTGATGGTCCACCCGGTATTTCACGCTTCGAAGATGGCGGTCTACACTCCAGCCTCATGAACGGACTTTCCAGGTAGACGGTCCCATGACCCTCCTTCAATGGACGGTCACCAGGAGGTTGACTGTGTCCTCGCCCATCGCAAGCACGGCAACAAGCCGATGCAGTACAAAGTTACATTCAAACAATGCTCCCGACGACACACGCTGGATTTCACGAGCTGATCTGAAGGCGACAGTACCCCTCATCTTCGCGCACTACGAAAAGCAGCGACTTGCTAAGGAAGCTGCCCAACCCACCCGACCCGCACGGACATCGGACAGACAGCTTCGCCCTCGCAGTTAGCTCGGTCTTCAAGGGGGGGAGTGTGTGGCATACGGATACCACATGGGCCCCAATTAGGGCCCGGTTCTGTAGTAGGCACGGGTAGGCCTAGTTACCGGGTCACAACGGTCCCAGTTAGGTCCTGGTAGGCCTAAGAACCGTCGGTTCAGTCCAGTGTCCGGTAGGCCTCGTTTAGACCCCACCAGACCCAACGGCTAGTTAGGCCAGATACCGGTCCATCGGTAGGACCGGCTGGCGGCGCAGTTTAGGCGCCACTCTTCAGATTCAAAATCGGATCTGAACCGTTGGGCCTGATCAACGGTCCAGACCCGAAGGCTCACAGTAGGACTGAGGCTGACCCAGCACTATATCAGCTGGGTAGCAGCCTCAGTCGGGAAGTTCGTCTAAAGTTAGTCTACAGTTAGTCTATGAGTTAGTCCTCAGGATTAGCGCAGCATTTCAGCAGGAAGAGGAGCAGCGAGAAGGGATTAGCGCAGCAGCAAGGAGGAACAGCGCAGCAGCGCCTTAGCGCAGGAGTGGGATAGCGCCAGCCTCTGGCCCAGCCCGCGGCCCAGCGCCCAGCCCTGCAGTGCCATAGCTGCATAGCCAGGTACCAGGGAGAAAGGCTTTGCCTTTCCTCCCTCTTCTTCCTCCTCCGCTCTCTCTCTCTCCCTCTCTCTCTCTCTCCTCTAAGTCTAAGACTACTTCTTGGATTACGCTACTGGACTACTACGACTATGGAGGATGGTTACGAGTCCTGATGATACTAAAGGTAGTGACATGGAGAGTGCAGGTTGAGGACTACTTTTGGGACTGACCCTCATCTACCTCTGAGGATGTACCTTGACATTGTGAGGACGATATCTGAAGACTCTATGTTCGCAACATTTCGGATTTTCGCTATTTCTGACATTTCGAGACACTATCTTTGGAAACATTGAGTTGACGTCATCTTCCCTCTCCTCCTCCCTTCGTCTCTCCTCCCCTCCATTCATCTGTGTATGAGAGTTGCCCCTGGCCTTCTCTTCTAAGTCCAAGGCCAGGGATTCACACCACCGATGTATGTTTGTGAGTGTTTCGTTGCAGTCTGAGTCAGGTCCGAGTCAATCCATGTATCTCAAGTCTTCCGCTGTATTTGTATGTACTCTGTATTATCTGGTCGGTTCTGGGAATCTGCGCCATACTTATGACTGTGTTTCACGAGTATGCAACACACACACACACACACACACACACACACACAGAGAGAGAGAGAGAGAGAGAGAGAGAGAGAGAGAGAGAGAGAGAGAGAGAGAGAGAGAGAGAGAGAACCATCACATACAAGTGAATGCACACATCAAAACACAATCCTGTCCGTATGAGGCCCAAGAACACCTGTGCATCTGTGGATACATTTGTATGCATAGAGAGGGAACAATGACCGTGGAAACCCAAGAAACTTGCTTGATGCCACTCTGTGATGGCCCGCCTGAGATTTGGCTAGCATATGATTCACATGCTTTGTGTCATGAGATTATGAAGCCATAGCCCATGCAAGTTTTTGTTTTCATACGTATGATGACAGTCAACACTGGACAAATGTGCGGCACCCTGATATGTCATGTCCAATTTGCAGACAGGGGCTGGAACGGCAATACCTCTACTATTGCGGTCGGCGTGCCTGTGTTCCTAGCAAGTAGGAGTCGCGTACCCTGTGACATCTGTCTATGCCATGCCATTGGATGCAGCAACTGCGACTGCAAGAATTGGATGTGGTGCGTCCACCGTCCACACCCGAACCGGTCCTGTCTGGTCTGTAGCGGTGGCCACTTGCCACAGGCAACGGCTGCTGATCAACTAAAAATCTCCTGCAGACCAAACACTGACTGGCTTCTTGTGCCATTCTAGAGTAGTCTGCTCCGGTGGTGAGTCTTTAGAACTCTCTGAAGTCTCTCTCCTCTGTTCCGTTCTTTGGCCCCTTCTCCCTCCTCCACCCTTCGCTTCCTATAGAACTCCACCCCCTACCCCTTCCCTTCCCCCCCGTCTCTTGTGTACTACGAATCAATGCATATGAATGAGCATCATAAGAGAACATACAAAATATAAGCTGAAGATCTGAAGAAAAACGACCAGGAGTATATCTCCCCCCTTACTCTGCCTCCTTTCATAACGTGCAAGTGGGGTGTTAAGGCACATGGAGACGTGGACAGCTGGCACTAAGCCGCAGTCAGTGTAGCCAGCCTTGTACGTGAGAAGCACAGTAAAATGGGAGCTGCAATATATGTAACGCTGCTTCAATTTTGGATTCACTCATATGAGTGGAATAGGGGCTGTTGTGGTGAAAATCTACAACACACACACTCACACAACACACACATGCTACACACACAAACACACACAAACACACACAAACACACACAAACACACACAAACACACACAAACACACACACAAATACACACACAAACACACACAAGACTACCTGGGTTGACAGGGCCGCACATCACGATTAGAACACACACCTGTGTGATGCGGGACACATGAGTGGGGGACACAAATGCGAAAAGCAAATTGCGCTTTGTGGCAGCTGAAGCTTGTCCAGAGCAGTTTGACTTGCAATTTTGGGCATTGATCAGAGCCCTCTTCAGCCGGTAATGGGTGCTCCTTTGACTTGGACTGTTTATGTGTGCAATTATTCACATACCTTCTGATCACATGTATGTCAGGCAGACTATATACTCTACTCACTACCGTCTGCAACAGCACAGGCACCCTTGGTACTCTTCCCAACTCTACCTGAATGGTGATTGCTCTATCACCCTTGGTCTATTCAGCTATGCCTCATAAAGGGCTTTGGGCTCAGTGCCTGGCCACCCTACACCCTTGAGAAGTCCAAGATTGGGAACTGCAGCAAGTACAGAAGTCCAGCTGTAACCAAGTGAGAACACAATTTGCATTCAAGGCTATCGTGGAAGCGCTGTCGTTGTCTTGTGTAATCAACTGTTGAGTGAGGCTTCAAGGCGGTTTAGAAGGTTAGTTGTCAGTGCCTGCGGCCTTAGCTGTAGAGCTGTAGTGGGTGAGAGCGGAGGGAGAGAGTGGTGGTGAAGACATTCAGAGAGGAATCGAGAGGCCTGAGGGTAGTTAGGACTTGGGAGAGAGAACGAGAGAGTGCCTTCCTGTACGAGTGGCATCCATAGCCGCCGCTGTACATGCATGAGACCTTGATGTATAGGACTTTCAAGTATCCGAACCATTCTGCTGCGTTCGCATATGGTCTTCATTTGCATTTTGTGCATGAAGTCCTGTGTGTTGAAGTGTGAGCTCTCGACGTTGCAAGCAGCAGTGAAGATTGAGCCACCCCCTTAAAAAAAAAAACAAACGGAAAAATAAAGAATCTGGCTGGGTGCAGGATTATCGTTGGAATCATCTTATGATATGTGTGCCAGCCCATTTCGGGTTGGTCCCAATGCAGCATTCATTCTTGCCTAGGTAGAATGTTCGCTGCCTGCGAGTTGAACTAAGCTAGTGCTGGCCACACGCCAAATGATGACCTCACTGTTTGAGTTTTCCTAACTCTGAGGTGTTTTATGCTCAAGAGTCAAAACATAGTAACTGTTTGGGATGTTCTCCGAGTGTTCACAGTCGTTCACTATTCCAGGCTCTTGTCCTCTAAAAGATAACAACAAAATCAAGCAGCAGAAAAGTTGAGGAGACATCATATAGACAACCACCAGCTGCTGTTGAGGGGGGAAAAGCTTTGCCCTATGCTTCAGCTTGAAGTTTTATTTACAACTTTTAGGTCATTCAATTCAATTCAATTCAACACAGTACGTTGGGAGGCGGTACAAGTGGCACTGCACGGCTGTTCCTTTCTTCCTTCATTATCCAACAAACATCCCCCTGTTCCAGCTTTTTATTTTCTGCAAATTCCTGCTCAGTTTGTGGATGATTCTTGGTGCTCCTTTTTTCCTTTTGCTTTAACCACCACTGGTGACTCCCAATTGGTCCCGGGGGTCATGCCAGTATACGAGGGGCCTCAGTTTGTGGATGATTCTTGTTGCTCCTTCCTTTCTCCTTTTGCTTTATCCACCAGTGGTTCCAATTGGCCCCAGGGGTCATGCCAGTATACAAGGGGGCTCAGTTTGTGGATGATTCTCATTGCTCCTGTTTCCTTTCGGTTTAACCACCACGGGTCCCAATCGGTCCCAATTGGTCCCAATTGGTCCCAATTGGTCCCAGGGGTCATGCCAGTATGTGAGGGGGCTGTGATCGGTCCGATAACTGCCGAGAGGAGGCGATCTGGGGCAGCTACGAAGAGCCTCTTGCCTCCCCCATAGGATCATGGATGACAGTGCTGGATCATCACTGATTGAGTGCAGTGGAACTAAGACACAAGAGGATGTTCAGACAACAAGCTGAGCAAGAGCCAAGAAACGGGATGTGACCAAACCCCCATGATGGAAATTTGGAATAACAAACAAATGGCCCTTCTCTGAAGGGAACTGCATTGTGAAGATGTGCACACACGCGATCTGCACCGTGATGGTAGACCGCCAGGTACATTTTGACAGGCCCTCGATTGTTACTTTTAAGTTTCAGTGCAGTTTTTGGAAGTTACGAAGCGAGATTGTATCTTCGATTTCACTATTTCTAGCAGTGTGGCATAGGGCCACTTTGGTGGGTGGGGCCCATACCTTCGGATTTGCCACTCTGCTTGGTTCTGGTCGCTTCAAGGGTCAGCCTATCGTTCTGCGTCTTTTCTATTTTTGTTTATTCTAATTCCTCGCCAACAAATGTAGCATGGTTGTATTTTCTGTCGGATCCGGTAGGAGCAGAGCCAACACAGGGAGAAGGAGAAAGATGCTTTAGTGAACTAAGTGGAGTACAAAGATCGACTCGCTTGCGGCGGATTCGGACCTGGTCCACCGGCAATCATGGGCTGAGTTGACCACATACACATGCAGGTGCTTAGGGCAGAGTGGACAGAGGCAGTGGAGGTGGAGGACCTGGTGCTGC